GATAGACACAGCGGGGATAAAATGTCCAGCCAGCCTTACTTTAAGCAATATTCCATTTTTTAACCATCTTGCATTTGAAATACTGTCAGTCCTTTGAAACCATGAACTTGTCAGTGGAATGAATGGCCATCAGGGTGCCAACATGAGCCATGCTGTGCTCGCAATCACTTCTCTCTCACTTTGAGTCTTTCTCAGAATGTGAACAAGAACTTTTATCAGTTCGTGTGGCTCTTTTTTGAGGCATACCAGTCTGATATCAGAGGCTGATTCAATTCAGTTCCAACTGAAGTGTTTTCAACTGTACCCTTGATGGCACCCCGCAAAAACTGCTCAGGAATGGCCCAAGGAACGTGACAAAGAGCTCAAGACATTGACCTAGCATTCAAATTCCCCAGATCCCAATCTGATCAAGCATCTGTGGGACAAACCAGTATTCTAGAGGTCCTTTGTCCAGGCCTCAACAGGTCAAGGAGCCAAGTCGGATCTACAGTGGAGCCTCTGACCTGTTGAGGCCTGGAGAGAGGACCTCTGGGGGTGTCCCTTGGTGTCTGGCACCATGGCATGGTCAACAGATCCTTTGATTCCCGTGGGTTGCGAGGTAAGGTATCGGCATGCCCAATGGATGCTTGATCGGATTGGGATCTGGCCAGGTTAAATCGGCTAAACTAAAACCTCTCCACTTTCTTGTAGCAGATGAGCTGAAAGGTGTGATTCAGCAATCACTATCAGACGATATTGCCAGCAACTTTGTAATTCTGTTTGCTGGCCTGAGCACCTATTGATGTTAAATTTCGTATGTCAGTGTAACAGACAAAGCCTTAAAAACGTCTCCTGGTGCCATGACCTGAACCCATCAGAAGGTCAACGTTTTTTAATTTACTTCTCATTTTTAGGGCATTTCCTGCCATTTCCAGTCTCTGTGTGTGTAATGCTTGCATGTGATGAGAGCTGTTTAGTTTGAGTGCCTCTCTGATGCGAAACAGTCTGTGAAATTGCACTTTGTCTTCATATTTCTCTTTGACAGTTTTACTGTGGGGGAGCGGGCATAAATATCGATATGGGAACGGATTTAAGGATGTTTCAATGTCAATTTATGGCTCACTGTCAGAGTGGAAACAAGGATAATGCATGTGAGTCCATGCTGGCACCACACGTCAAAATGATGTAGTAAAGATGCTGGAGTCTTACGTCGGACCAGTGTTAATTTTGACAGCTATTATAGATTTAGTCTTGGGACAAAAATGCTTATTTTAGCCACTTTTATCCTTCATAGTTTTAGTGCACTGTTAGTAGACAAAAATTCAAAACATTTTCGGAAATCGGGTAAGTAGGTTAGAATGTCACATTGTGCGGATGTTGACAGTATTGAATTTTGCAGATGCTTGGTTTTGTTCCTTGTATCTTATGACTAATTGTCATTTTTCCATGTCAAGATGATGTTGGGATGATACGTTACGAAGAGGTTGGATTTTGGTTACTTTACAACACAACTTAAAACCATCTTGAAAAAAACAAAATCCAAGGCAACTCTTCTCTGGTGCAAAAGTTAAAAGGCCTTTATTAAATGGCTAGTTCATGATGAACATTAAAATCACCAACATGTTTCGGCCATGCTCACTGGCCTTCATCAGGGCATAAAGCTGCAGGGTTCACAGGTGGCCTAAATGAGGCCCTACTCAGACATGGGTGGAGCCAATCAGCACTCCATTTGCCAGACTGCAGGCATATAAGCAAAACTCCCTTTACACAATGCACTCATAACTAGAAACCTGCATTATAGGGCCAGTAGGCAAACAATGAGAATATAACAGATATAATTAGAAAAAATCACAATAAACCATCAATAGGTCAAATTCTATAAGGAGAACAAAAAAATATATATACATAGACTGCATTCAGAAGCAGAAGTAACATATGAAAAATAATAGAATATATACATAAAATACAAAAAAGAGACAACCAAAATAAGAAAAAAAGAAAAAAAAAGACACTAAATATATGCAAACAGATATACGAAGTAGGGAACCTTTACATAGGCAGTATTAATTTACAAAAATGGAGTAAGGTCAAGGTCCTCATTAATTCCTGGATATACAGTAGCTTTCAGTTTGAAAATCCATTCCATCTCTTTTTGATTGAGACGTTTCTGTCTATCCCCTCTTCTATCTGCCTCAGGGATATGGTCAATGCCCATAACCAACACAGAGGAGGGGTCATTGCCATGATGTTCTTTGAAATGTTTAGCCATAGGGTAGTCCAGGTTACCTATCCTGATTGCATACTTATGTTCTGCAAGTCTATCTTGTAACCTGCGTTTAGTACGGCCAATGTAAAAGATTCGACATACCTGACATTCAAGTTTGTAAATCACAAAGGTGGTTTTACAATTGATGAAATGATGAATACGATATGTTTCATTTCAAACTTCAAAGGTTTTAGATTTAACAATATTATTACAATGAGGACAATGGCCACATCTGTAACAGCCCTTAAGTTCAGATTTTAGCCAGTTATTGGGACGTGCAGCTGGTAAATGATAGATAAACAACTTAAAACCAATAAAATACCAACCTCATTTGTCATCACTATTCAACATCAATTCACGTTGGCATTAGGTGCTGTCATGACATTACATTCGGCCACCCAAACTCACAACCTCAATTGGATATTTCATATCCAAAAGGTAAAATATCAACTGTCAACAATGTCTTGAACTCGAGGAGGAACTGATTAGAATTTGGTGGTCAAGGGTCAGAGGTCAAGGTTCTCAAAAACAGTCTAAAGAAATTTGTTCAAATTTGGCACTGTCCAATGTGCACTCCGACTCAATGATGTACTGACTAGTTCTTGGTGGTCATAAGTCAAAGGTCAAGGTCACTGTGACCTTGTCTGTCTCGTCCTCGTGAACACAATATCTCAAGAACACCTTCAAGGAACTTCTTCAAATTTGACACAAACATCCCCTTGTACTACAAAATGAAGTGTTTAGAATTTTATGGTTAGAAGTCAAAGGTCAAGGTCAGTGTGACCTTACAAAATATGTTTTTGGCCATAACTCAAGAATTCATATTCTCTTAACGACAAAACTTCACACAAATGTCTAATAGGCTAAAATAATGAGGTGATTACATTTCATATCCAAAAGGTCAAAAGTCAACTTCACTGTGGCATCATGATGTTCTGCATACAAGACTTTTCTGGACATTATTCAGCATCATATCTCAGAACAGAAGCGGACATATTTGGTCAGATACTGAATTGGTGACACTAATCTTGGGTGTCCACCTTGATTGTATAGATCTTCTGTGCTGTCGGAGGGACCATGGGTGTGAGGCGTCCATGTTTTCACAGAGGTTATGTTTCTTATGTCATTCAAAGCATGTGAAAACATACCTTATGATGGCATTATGTATGAGGCACAGAAATACGGGTCATATTGCATCCCATATTGACTATGTAAAGGAATAGTACATGTTAATTTTCAGTATTGGATGATCCCGTATCATACGTGACAGGTGCAACCCTCATTACAGCTTATGACATTGAGGCATGACAACTTCAACTTTCATCTGCTACATTTAAAGGTCTTTTTTTAAGGGTCTCTTAAGTTTCTGATCAGTCTGTGTTTTTCAGACATTGTCCCTAATGTATCTCTAGGCGGTAGGCTGTGCGGTCTATTTTCGGGGCAGAGCACTTTGAAATGAAGCTTTGACTAATCATCACACATCCTGCGGAGCGCCTGGTAGGCATGCTCCTCTTCTCGGCTCCTTTGAGGTGAAGGATGAGATGGGAGAGGAAAAAAGGGTAACAGAAGAAAAATGAGTAGGAGCGGGCGAGGAGGTGGGGAGGGGTGAGTGGAGAGCAGCGGCAGGGCCTGTGGTCATCCTACAGGGTGTATGAGGCTGCCAGAGGCCTTGTAATCCTCCCCCACCCCTGCCCTCCTTTCCTCTCTATCATCCCCTCCACCTCACCATGACAAACCGGATCTGCTCTCTATAAAAGAGCCACAGGCTACCTCTCCTCTTTTTCCTCCTTTCTTACCCAGCAGCCCTCATCCCATTTGTCATTTACACTGCCTCGGTCTTGGTCAGCTCGCAGGGACAGGCTGTCGCTGCCAGGCTTGGCCGCCGTGCTCATAGGCCTGGCAAGGAGGAGCCACCAGTTCCCCCAGTGGCAGCATTTAGAAAGCCACTTAATGGGTTTAGGCGCATTTGCTAATTTGTCAACAAGTTTCGGATGTTGAGCTCGCTGCCAGGACGGTTGGTCTGGCACTTGACTGGAAGGGATCTCTATTGGCCGACCATTTCTGTAGCCATGGGTGAATCAAATTCAAAGGCCTTTGCATACTTGACTGTTTGTATGTTGGCGCTTGAGGCAGCAGACCTCAATGCTGAATGGCTAATGTGCAACTCATGATTCTTATTGTCCTGGGCTTTAATGTAGATGGATTATTAATGCAAGACGGAAGACAGTTATGGGTGATGCTTTAAATAATAATAGCTTTATGGTGGCTCTCAGCCCCAGGTCTACTGGTTCCTGGAAAATAGTGCATTTCTTGGGGACTATTTTCAGCGGTGGATTAATCCACATTTGCTGCTCTTGTATTTAAGGGCAGCAGGATGATATGTGGGATTGATTCGAAATAAAACTACAGTGATTGTGTTGATAGTAATGAAGGAACATGTCACCCAGTGCAGCAGTGTGGCTCACTGAGGTGTTTTCAATAGTTTTTGGACAGTAATAGAGCTCTGTGGCACAGAGGACGAAAATATATCAGCCTTTGATACACACACAATAGGCATACTGATGCCTATTATATCATATTCCATCTCTGGCGATACACTCCTGAAACCCCACCCACTGGACCTTTAAACAGCGAAGGATGCATATCAGGCAGATTTCAGGCCTGGAGACTCTCAGTCTAGATTAAATCAATGTCAAAAACCTTTCAGAAGTAAAGTTGAAATCTGTTTTTCTCTTGTTTGTTTTCATCAATCCAGGGTTTCTAAGCACAGGAGACCAGGCGGCCAAGGGCAACTACGGCCTGCTGGATCAAATTCAGGCTCTCAGGTGGATCAAAGAAAACATCCAGGCCTTCAAAGGAGATCCGAAGAGAGTGACCATTTTTGGTTCTGGCGCCGGGGCATCGTGCGTCAGCCTGCTCACCCTCTCGCATTACTCAGAAGGTACGTCTGCTTGCTCACAGACATGGACAGCCACACAGAGATATGCTGACATGCAGAGGGCCTTTCCATCATATAAATGTGCATCATGCATTGATACTCCACATCAAGAACATGTTCACAGTGAGCTTTAGTTTTGCTTCCTTTAAGGCAGGTCTGGACTGATTTACATATTCAGGCATTTGATGATGTGTTTAACTGTAGAGAGGTAAATCAAAGCTAAAAGCAAAGACAAGCAGTTTTTCATCCTTAGCAAAAGTGACATGAAACTGGAATCTGATGAATGGAAAAACTAATTGTCTGACATAAATTTGGCAAAGATAATCATGGCTGTAGATTTCTAGAGAGATGGAATCTCTGACCTGTCTTGTCTTTGCCTGATTTCAGACAGAACTGTCTACTTGTTTCACTCTGTTTACCTCTTCAGTCTGACTTTGCGTCCACCCTGACCGATTTCAGTGGGAGTAAGGGGGTTTACTTTTTTCCTAACCAATCACAAGAGACCAATGTATCTGCCTGAATGGGTCCACACCATTACATCACCAGTGTAAGCTGTGGTGCGCCGAATAGGTAGAGTCTGCACACCCTTTGACAGAAGATGTCAATTTAGAATAACCTCAGTAGTAGCGTCTGTCTCATCTATGGTGCTCGCCATGGTTGTTATTGCTCCTCAATGGTTCTGGCGCACCATTTGACAGCAGCTTTAGTCCAACCCATGGCACTGATTGGCTAATTGAGTCCCACTGCAGCACTCATTGGTTGTTTTTTTATGTTAACTAACATCACAATGCCAAACCAGTATCAGTCGACTCAAAGTTAGTGGAGTGGGCGGATTTAAAGGTCTGGACTTAAGCAAGTCTAGCTTCACCAACCCTGTCCAACTCAGTCTCACTCTGAAGGCGTCGAAAAACGCCATCCTTTTGCATCTTCATGATACACAGCCAGTTGCCATTATTGTTTAATAGCACCTGGCGGCATCAAGTTGAAAATGGAGGGACAACAACGAAAGTTAAGATGCCAAAAGTCCAAGTAGGGCAGTCAGAAGGGGTGGTGGATGAGTCCGACAACCACCAACTTTCATGTAGGAGGCCAGCGTTTGCTTCCTGTAAGACTGTAAAGCCAAACCCTGATTTTTTTTTTTTTCCTAGACCCAACCATATGTGTGTGTTTGCTAAACGTAACCAACTGCGTTTGTTGTAGAAGGGCAAAAAACATCAGTTCAAGGTGCTGTACCGACGTACTGCATTTATTTTGAAAGAGACTGTATGTAAACTGTACATTTCCTGTAATAACACGTTAATTGACAAAGCGTCCCAGAACGTCCACAACCAACACGCACAGGGTACCTTGCACGTCAAAGCTTGACGTGGAAAGTCCATGACCAAAGGTTGATATTTGACGAGGTTGCAGTGAGAATGTCACATCAGGGACCTCGGCCCAGATACGAGTACACCTGACCCCAAAGTCCAGTTTGTTTGATTAGTGTTAACACTGTCTACCATACCTTGGCACGGTTGGTTGATCCATGTCTGAATCAACTTGAAGAGCTGGTCCTGAGTACGCAGAAGTGGACTGCTATTTAAAACAAGTAGTAGTTGGTGAGTGATGCGAACTGTACCCCCGTACACACAAACCATACTCGAGACTACCTTTTCAAATACTTCACACAGTATCCTCATACAATGGTTCACATGATATCCTACGAATTACTCCCCCACAAATGAAGGTGCATTCTTAACGTTACGTAATTAATGTAATGTAATTAAAGTAAGTTCTTGTTGTTAGGTTTAGGGAAAAAATATGGTAAGGACATATCGTAAAATGTCTACTCAGAGTTCACATGGTTCCAAACACCAGTCTCCTGAAGAAAGTCCTGTGTTTTGTGACCCATTCGATTACTTCAATGAACTGTAGACACTGGTGGTTTAACGGATGAAGGGAAATGCCTGAAAATCTGGATGTGACATGGAGGGACGGTTCTGGTGACAGAAGGAACCCTAAGTGCTGAATGTGATGAGCAAAGGAACAGAATGGGATTGAGGCGGCTCGCATCAATTCAGCACTGACATAGCAGTTGACAGCAGCCAAGAGAAGAAAAGCTTGACAGCAGTGACATGATTGGCTCAGGGAAATCATGGCAAAATCTGGTTGGTTTAACCGAAAGAGTGAATGCCCATTAAGCTGGAAGAGAGTGGGAGAGAATGAATGAGAAGCATAAAGAGTCTTTCTGAATGAACTTCTGCCAAGCTTCATTAAACACTGTATAACCACCAGCAAACACACACCAGAAGCACAAAAAGAGAGCAGCACTTTAGTAGCAAGAAGAATGCGCTGAATCAGTTCAGCAGCATCAGTTAATAAAACAGCCTGTTCTGTAACTTCATCAGATTATTCATGGCATCATATGTGATCACCACATACGGAGACAACAACCGAAGTATGTGTTCATTCAAGTGTGTATTCTGCCTCAGTCTTAAAGCATTCGAGGAGAAGGGACGACTGAGAATGGATTCCGGATTATCATATTGTATTTCTATCTTTATTTATATGTATTATTAATGGGTGTTTTAAGTAAAAAAATCCAAAAGATCTTTTTTTCCCTGGCTCTTACAGCGCTTGTAGCTTTCACAAATGAATAGTTTCGTGCAACTTATACAACCAGCGAGGAAAATCTCCTGACCAATCTGTCAGGAAAAAAAGGAGGATTTGGAGGATTGGATCCCAAAAAGTGCTGCTGCAGTTCCGAGGCCATTTTCCTCTCTGTGTGTAACAAATACAGGCTGTATGAAAATGCAGCTTCCCCCAAAATCAACCTTTTTATCCTGCTGGAAGAGGTTCATTGAATTTGCCTTATAGGCAATCAGAGTAAGGGAGACTTTCTATTTGCTCCTTTGTCTTGCGTCGCAGTTATTAGGTCTGTTTCATTTTTCTTATCTTGCATTTGAGAGAATAGGACTGTCTTACTTTACATTTAGATAAAAATCCTCATGTTGTGATGGGCAGCAATCATGGCTGAGGGAGCCGACAAACATGCCGTGCCTCACCAAGTACTTTGGTAGGGCTGTTGCGAAAAGTGAATTTTGCCGACTGTGATTAAGGGTGGCTCAACAGTGTGATACGCCATATTAGTGCCATTATTTGTTACGAGTTTGCAGCTTATTTAAAGGGCCGGTGTGTAGGATTGAGGGGGATACAATGGCAGAAATGGAATATGATATAATCAGAACGTTTTCTGTCAAGTGTTTGTACTTTTTACTATGAAAAGTAACGCACCCAAATTCATACATATCCCATGCATTTTAAAAGGCTGCAATCACTTGACTAAAGTGTTCACTGGAGACGCGTGTGCGGATCCCTGTTAACCTTGAGTGAACTTTAAGTCATTTTAAGTATGTCCACACCATGTTTCTTTTCCTAAACCTAACCACAGTAACTTTACTTGCCTAAACCTAACCTCTGCAACTAACCTCTGAAACCATTCTATGTCAATAGTTTGTTGTTGTTTTATTTTTTAAGTGTCTAATAACTAGCAATGGCCAAATGAAGCTTCATGAACCAACAGTTGTATTTGCTGAACCCACTAGATGGCGCTCTTGGTGTAATGAAAAAGGCTCAAGGGATGGCAATGCAGTTTGGTTTCAACTAGCGATGGCCAAATGAAGTTTCATGAACCATTTTCTTTATTTTTTGGGTCCACTCTGTTCAACAAAGGGTTGAAACCAAACTGCATTGCCATCCCTTGAGCCCTTTTCATTACACCAAGAGTGCCATCTAGTGGGTTCAGCAATTACAACTGGTGCTTCATGAAGCTTCATTTGGACATCACTAGTTGAAACCAAACTGCGTTGCCATCCCTTCTTGAGCCTTTTTCATTACACCAAGAGTGCCATCTAGTGGGTTCAGCAAATACAACAGGTGGTTCATGAAGCTTCATTTGGCCATTGCTAGTTGAAACCAAACTGCGTTGCCATCCCTTGAGCCTTTTTCATTACACCAAGAGCGCCATCTAGTGGGTTCAGCAAATACAACTGGTGGTTCATGAAGCTTCGTTTGGCCATCACTAGTTGAAACCAAACTGCATTGCCATCCCTTGAGCCTTTTTCATTACACCAAGAGCGCCATCTAGTGGGTTCAGCAAATACAACTGGTGCTTCATGAAGCTTCATTTGGACATCACTAGTTGAAACCAAACTGTGTTGCCATCCCTTGAGTCCTTTTCATTACACCAAGAGTGCCATCTAGTGGGCCGTTTATATCTACATAGGAAGCAAGTACTCATCTACCATGATGTTTCTACAGTAGCCCAGAACAGACAAACTGATCACTGACTCCAGTTAGGGTCATTCACATTTTTGTTTTGGAAAAAAACAGACCGCAGCTCGACAGATAAATCGGCTCACTGTAAAAACCTCCTGAACATCGGACTCTTAAGGTATTAGAGAAAAAAGTGAGCACACATTAGCTAGTTCTAAGCTAGCGGCCCGTCTCCGACATGCCAAACAGCGTTGGAGAAACACTGATTCATAATGTGAAGCTGCTTTAATTAGTGTTGAAGGAATCTCTTGTGCTTCAGCCCTTCCAAAAATTGCAACAAACAGTTCAATAGGCCGATTTTGACTCTGATGAAGATGCAACAAAAAAGTCGTTTTTGCACCTTATTAAACATTTAAGTCAGTCATGTGATATGTGTCCCTCCCTCCTCTACTATGATTGTCAATAGCACAATTTTGCAGTATTGTATTGTGGTATCGTGGTTATCGCAACACTGCTAATTTAGGTGATGCTTCTTTTTGAATTTGCTCCTGGAGCTCTGTTGTTGTTCAGCCACCATAAAAACAAGAGCACCATCAGCTTGTGCATCAGCAAACATACCAAGATCATAAAAGCTCTGTCTCTCTGTATGTATAGTTTTTAAGTTAACATACACACACTCCACATTTGGCTAATGGCAGCAGGAGTAAAAGCTTGTTCACTGCTAACCAGGCCTTGTGGGAAATGTCTGCTGTGTGCTCAAAACATACTTTTCAAGTCGGCCTGGTTGAGTCACCACCACTGTGTCTTTGCGTGAGTATAAATAGCACTCTCTGAAACAAAATAAAATACACATAACTCCAGTGTTCCTGGTGTATTGTGGCCTACTTGATGATTGGCAGTCCAAGACGCTGTGCTACCAATATCTCAGGATGTGAAAACTGCCTCAGGTGTTGTTGCTCTATAAACAGCAAATATATTTTCTGTTCCAGTTTGTTCATTAGGGACAGAAAGATGTTATGTCAGTATTTGAATCATCCTTTTATTTGCCTTGAAATGTTTTCATAGTATGACAAGAGATGCAGCTTAGGATTTATGTGTTTGACGAGGCCTCTCTCAGTGATGGAACTTTTTATTAGCTGGGTATAAGGCAAACCACAAAAAACAGGACACTGCTGGCATCAGTTTGCAGGATAGACCACTCAGTAGATAGTCAGCTATATTGCATTACATTTAATAGCCAAATGCCTGCAAATGTAATTTTTGTCTTTAGATGACTTTCTTTTTCAACTCTTTAAAACCTGGCTTGGAAGCTGCGGTGCAAGTTTGTGTACATTGTCTCTCTACAAATACCCCACTAACATCTGGCTTTTGGGAATGGGAACATTTACAGTCAGCATTCACTCCCAGGTTAAATGACTCTGCAGTAGTCTCAGGTATACTGGCTCCAGCTCTGTTTGGCAGTGATGGAAATACAACAACCAGAGCATGCTAATTTAGCCCCTTTGCCAGCACGATGCAATGACAGGCCGCGACAAAGTAACATCCTTCTCTGTCCAAGCGGCGCTCAAACATCATTCCAAATTGTTGGCACTGAGTTTAAAGGAGAGACTGAACCAACACGTTCTCACTCACACCTTGTTACATATCGACGGTTGGTCATGGACATTCCACGCCGAGATATAATGTGCAAGGTAGTTTCATTGGTTGTTGACATTCTGGGACGCCGTGTCAACTTCGGCCTGTTACATACATTGTCTGTTCTCAAAATACACTTACTTGGGTTCGGCAACAAAAGCACATGGTTGGGTTTAAGACAAAAGAACAGGGTTTAGCTTTACATTCATGCAGGAAGCAAACACTGGCCTCCTGGGTGAAAGTCCATGGCTGTTGGATTCATATATCACCCCGTCCGCCCGCCCTACTTGAACTTACGCCCCCTTAACCTACGTTTTTGCCTGGCTGCCTTTCACCCCTAATGCTGACCGGCTGTTTATCATACCAATGTGAAAGGACAGCTTTTTTACTGACTGAACAAGAGAAAAAGAAGTAACCACCGTAACATTTTTTTACTGGCCTCCATGCTGCTTTCTACTGTTTACTAACCTATTTTCCAGCCAGTCTGTGTTGTCAAATGAGACACATTAGTAAAAAACAAACAAACAAAAAAGGTATACCTGTCTACTGGCAATGGGCAAGTAGTCTATTGGCTAATTTTAGCGTGTTAGCCTGTGTTTAAAAAAAAAGCCCTGTGTACATGTGCTTATTTTGGTGGAAAATGGGTTCCTTTCCTTAGCTCACCCTGTGAGGACATAACTGTCAATCAAACGGACACATGCCCCTTTAGAGGCTGAGAGAAAAGAAGGAGCATTTCTGATATTCCCCCAAAGACCTTTTTAATGTCCTCAAAAATGCTTTCCAATAAATTATTCCTGTCCATTTCCATGCTTCTGTCTGTCTGTGTTTACTAATACCAGCTCCATTCTCAGATCTGTTCCAGAAAGCCATCATCCAGAGTGGCACAGCACTGTCCAGCTGGGCGGTCAACTACCAGCCTGCCAAGTACACCCGGGCCCTGGCTGAGAAGGTGGGCTGCAACATGCTGGACACCATCGACTTGGTGGAGTGCCTGCAGAACAAGAACTACAAGGAGCTGATCGAGCAGTACATCACACCTGCAAAGTACCACATCGCCTTCGGGCCCGTGATTGATGGCGACGTCATCCCAGATGATCCCCAGATCCTAATGGAGCAAGGGGAGTTCCTCAACTATGACATCATGCTGGGGGTCAATCAGGGTGAGGGGTTTAAGTTCGTGGATGGCATTGTGGATAGTGAGGACGGGGTGTCTGCCAATGATTTTGACTTTGCTGTGTCGGACTTTGTGGACCATCTGTATGGCTACCCGGAGGGCAAGGACACTCTACGCGAGACCATCAAATTCATGTACACGGACTGGGCAGACAAGGAGAACCCAGAGACCCGGCGGAAGACCCTGGTGGCTCTGTTCACTGACCACCAGTGGGTGGCACCAGCAGTGGCCACAGCCGACCTCCACGCCCAGTATGGTTCACCCACCTACTTCTACGCTTTCTATCACCACTGTCAGAGCGACATGAAGCCCAGCTGGGCTGATTCAGCCCATGGTGATGAAGTGCCATATGTGTTTGGAATCCCCATGATCGGCCCCACAGATCTCTTCAACTGCAACTTCTCAAAGAATGACGTGATGCTGAGTGCTGTTGTCATGACCTACTGGACTAACTTTGCTAAAACAGGGTGAGTGCTCCCTTCTTTTATTCTTTCCTCTCTTTGGGTTTTCTTGCATTTTTTTAATGTTACAGCATCACTGATATGAGAATCTTTCTCTACTATATATGAGGTACATAACCCCTAGCATTCTGTCTGCATCTAAAATTGCACTCGTTCTGTCTAGAGTCTTCAATCAGTCTTACAGAGTCAAACACAAATGTACATTTCCTGGGATAGTGAAGGCATGACCCGCACTACTTTGCCTTACTCTGCCTCTGATTGGCTTACCCTGACATTCTTACCCAAACCCAAACCAATCCAACCAATAAAGGCAACGAGTTCCAGCCAGGCAGGGAGAGAGGGATAATGCCTTCACTATCCTCGGAAACACAAATTTGAGAGTCAAACACACACTGCTGGAATCAGTAAAACTTAGTCTATACCCTATCCATTAAAGGTAAATATCCATAATCTGCTTAGAAACCATGTAAAGGAGTGCCTCACAACGATCATGTTTGGATCTTTCTTTAGCACCAAAAGTTGTCCAGTGATTGTTGTCAATACATGATGGATAAAAGACAGAGAATAGTGCTTAGTGTGTGTGACAGGTGATGAATGTTTACAGTTCAAACTACAGCTGTGATCGGGCCTAAAAGATTAGCTTGACGCCACACGAATCTGCAGAGTTGTTGGCCAAGCCCTACACAAGCCAGAACCACGGCAGCAGTTTTGGGCCCAAGCCCAATTAAAAACTTGAATTTCCACTGCAAAAAAAATAATTATAATATTGAAGTATTTATTAAAAGCTTAAGTCAAACAAAGACTTTAAGTGTGGTGACAGACATTTGGGACATGGGGTATGTTCATAAATAGTCACCCCAAGCACCAGAGTGCACTCTAGCTCACTTGGGCCGTTCATAAATTCGGAAAGCGGTTGGAGTATGCCGTTCAGTTATTCAGAGCACCAGAACTGCTAGTACTGTAAATTCGGAACCAGCTGGTACATGCCATTTGGTTATTCAGAGCACCATACTGCAGTAAAAGTGAAAGTTGGTGCGAACCCAACCCGATTCAAGCTCAGGAGAATGTTGAGAAATTAGGGCCCGGGCTGAAAACAGCAGGTTGGGTCAGGCCCAGTTCAGTAAGGGCAAAGAATCAAAGCTCCTGTCCAAACAGGAACTGCTAGTAGTTTGTAGATTCGGGTCACAGTTGGACCATGCCATTTGGTTATTCAGAGCACCACACTGCAGTGACTGTGAAACCTGGTGCGAACCCAACCCGATTCAAGCTCAGGAGAATGTTGAGAAATTAGGGCCCGGGTTGAAATCAGCAGGTTGGGTCAGGCCCAGACCAGTAAGGGCAAAGAATCAAAGCTCTTGTCCAAACAGGAACTGGTAGTAGTTTGTAAATTTGGAACCAACTGGAACATGCCATTCGGTAACTCAGAGCACCGCACTGTAGTGAATGTGAGATTTGGTGCAAACCCAACATGATTCAAGCCCAGGAGAATGTTGAGAAATTATGTCCTGACCAAAACCGAGCAGGTTAATTCAGGCTCAGTCAGGTAACGGTAAAGAATAAAAACTCTAGTCCAAACAGGAACTGCTAGTAGCTAATGCACCATAACTTTACACAGTCTGCTTAAAATATAAAATGGGAAAAAAAGAGGCCCCAAGTATAGCAAACAGTTGACTGAATGGCTGAATCTGAACATCTTCCCACTGGGCTTCTGGCATGCTCCCTCACTAACTTTGATCATATGCACAATGAGAATGACCTTTAACACCTATGGAGAATAACAATCTGACACACCAAAGATAGATTTGAAGTTTGGTATCAGCAGAAAGTTTTGTTATGATTAGTGTATTAATGATTAAGACAAAGGGATCAAGTGGAGGTTAATAAAACAAGTCAAATCCTCCCCTGGTGCTGCAGCAATGCTGGATTTGATGAAAGGATTTGCTCACTGTTTATATTTGGATCACGTTTTTGTTTCACACACCTTGAGATTAGGTATCAGGGTGTTTGCAGCCCAGTCATACTGAAAATTCACTTGGAGTTGAATAAATAAAGTCTTGATCAGCTTCATACGCTATAGCGTTCATTCCTCTGCTCTCTGTTTGGCTCCTATCCAGTTGATGCCTGATCAGGGGGGATTGGCTGCCTTAGAGACATTTTGGGAAGGCTCTTTTATTGTGCATTTTTTGAGTATGCTTCCAATAAAACAGTGAGTGAAAGTAGCCATCATTCAACTCATCTCCCCCGGTCCTTGCAATGGCTCCTGCCATGCATCATGGCAAATTGATTCTTTGAAACTTTACCTGATGTCTGTGCCAAAGAAACTGGCCATTTGGATGTACGCACAATAGCATGGAGTGTGGCTGTGTGGGCTGGGAATGGGTGTCTTGCTGTTACTATTCTCTCTGTCAAGCATGTGGGGGCTTGATTTGCAGATAAAGAACTGGAATATTTCTAAGACTTATATGTTGATTTGAAAGCATATGCCAAACTCAAAAATTGATGGGATTATTATTATTATAATATAGTCCTGAGCCATGGCAAGGAAGGACGAGGAAAGTGCACAGCTTTTGTGGCCCCACATTTGATGCCAGGGATAGTTCAATGATTACCAGTAATTAGCTCACATTATTTTGTAGTTTTTATTTGTTAAGGGAAAATGTAAAAGTATTTTTTGTTAAGTTTTCTCTCAAGTTTTCCAAAACACCACCCCTGAAGTGGCAGGGAATGTAGTGCTGAGAAGTTTGTGTGTTATGTCACTTTGGCATACCTGGGTTTCAATGGTGCGTTCTCATCCCAAATTGTCATGTATCAGTGCTTCGTTAGCACACTATTATTTCTACATATTATGTTCTAGGTTGATGTTGTTGATGTTCTAGGAGCCGTGACAATTTACGCATGTTAAATGCATTATTTTTTTTCAAAATACACTTCCATTTTCACAGGAAATGTACAGCTTCTGCTTGTTAGATGCATACCGTCGGTAAAACGACTCGTTTTTAGGTTTATTTTCCTGTGCAACAAAAAAAAAACAACCATTATGTGTTGGCTCAATATTCAAACAGGACGTGAACATGAAGCCAAAAGAGCAAGTGCATTAGAGATTTACATCAGCTGAGTGCAGCTAAGTGTGGCTGAGTAGCTAAGTTCTGACAACCAAATGGCTGACTTCCGGTTTCGTGCTCTGCTGACTTGAATTAGGACAACTTGATTTAATAATATGGCTCTTTTAGACTTTTGAAATGTTATTACACCAAATGGATCAAATTGTGATGGTGAGACGAGTCATTTTAAGGGGGTTGTGATGCTCAAATAAAAATTATCAACTGATTAACAGACATCTCTTTCCAAATGACTGCAAATAGGAAAAAGTCTTTTTTGGTCCAATGGCATTACACGACAGAATTTTGGCCACTATGTAAAATTGGCTTCAAAGCCTGGCACTGTTCCTGGGGCTTAAAGTAACACATATATAGCGAGTAATATAAGGAATATGGTGTTAGTATTCCATCTTGCCATTCTTTATAAACCTACAATAGTGAAATGAGGAAACACAGTTCTGTCATTTTTAAGCCGTCATCAGAGGTAGTAACAGTGCTGAATCAGTGTCTGTGTAAGAGGGACAGCTGGCAGGACGGAACCATTGGAGGGATGGCTGTTAAGCTTTGATGACGTGTTACGTGTGCGACCGACTGCAGGAAATTTAAAAAGTAATTTATAGCAGTTAGCGGCTAACTCAAAGAAGAAGAACAGCAGCTGAAAATGTCTGCAAATTGGGAAAACAATGAGGTTCAGGAGCGTCTTACCCTCCGAGAAGAGGACGAGCCCTGCTGACGGGTATGTTATATGTCACACTAGAGGCCTATGCTGTTGTGTTACATGTCACTGGCTAATTTTTGACTGCAGTCCTTTGGCAAGATGTATGGAAACCTGTAAGATGATCAAAGCCACAGAACAAAGCCAGCAGGACACCATGAGGACAGCAATGCAAACAAGAATTCTCAAGACAGAACACAAGCTATGCAAAGCAAGACAACACTGCAGAACATTAGTACAATGACACAGCAACGACAAACAGCACTTTAGCACAAACACCCATGCAGGCAACAGGAAGCACCAACAAACAGCTACGCTTAAATACAGACAGGCCGAGCAGCTAAAGGCAGTAAACACTGATAAAATACAACAGTCAGTACGTTGTTAAAACAGTGAATAAATAATAAATGAACACTGATCAGAATTGATCGAGTCGTCGACGTTCAAAGTGAGGCTGTTTAAAAATAGAACACAGGCTGGTTGTAGTCCCGCCTTGTGCCCATCATACATAATAAAGCTGCTAGTTAGCGAGCCTACAAGGCAACAGTGCGCATGGACAAGAGATTTATCCCTCTGCTGTGGCAGTAAACACAACAAATGGGCCTGCCAATAACTGTGCTATATTTAGAGCTTAACTGGATATTTGGGGCTCATGAACAGTAGCATTAACCACAGTAAACAGCATGGCCAGATTATGTACTGTCACACACACAAACACACACACCAGGAGAGCCGGGCTGTAGTTAAGCTACAACACAGGTACCCACGCAGTGACTCTCTCAGAGGGCCATAAATTTGCCTCTCATGACTGTCACAGCACCCACAGACTCAGAGACACAGAGATCGTGACAGAAGCTGCTCATGGCTGGTTCCCTGTGGCTGCTAGCACTGTAGTAAGCACAGCATTATCAATGCTACACTCAAAGGGTTAGGGTCAGATTGCAGAGAGAGTACACAAAGGAAAAACACCAGATATTTCCCAAAAAAATCACGTGTTATTCAGCTTGTTCTCAACCTTTCGTGGTGTTATGGCAGCACTATGATATGTCAGTGGACAGCCTCAGTTTGAAACAGTGCTGGTAACGACGTAGTATAAGGAGTTAGAAAGTCTGTATTGGGCAGGCAGGAGCGGTGGTGGTTGGATCCAGCAAACCCCGGACTTTCACCTGGGAGCCAGCTGTTCACTTCCCACA